ACTTGCGTCTAATGTAGAATGGGCTTGATACTTACGAAAAAATTATAATAAAAAAAATTTTCGCGTTTGAATTCGAGAATTAATTTTATGGTGCTCTCAAGCAACATCCATCCTAACCTGTATATCTAGCGCTGCTTGACATCTGCAAATGTACAGGAACTACTATTTTAATGATTCACGCACACTGAATGTTAATACATATATATATATACATATATATGTGATAAATCCGGTCAATAGATGATACACTCTATGTAAGGTTATATATAAATATATATGATTAGATATGAGATCGAAGATCATATTACGCTCCACATATAATTATATATGAACATATAAAGTCAGATTTGCGCAGATATGAAAAGTCATATCTGAGCATATCTGACCACATATAACTTAATTTGCCGAGATATAATTTGATCTGGTCGGATCTAATCTTTTTTTCCCGGGCAGAAGTATCCTGCATATATCAACAGAGATAACATCTGAAAAAATTAAAACAAAAAGAGTTCTTTTCCTTATATTCGGCACTGTCCAACATTAGGTTTTAAATTTGAAATTACACCTATCCTCTTTGCACAAGTACACGTACTTTCGTAGTCGGCATGTTGCTGTTGTTATTGCCGTTGCTGCTGCTGCTGCTGCTGAGCTAAACTGAAAATTCCACTTGTCCGTTATCAATGATGACGAGCCAGAGATAACATCAGGCAAGATGCGAAGGCGCGCGCGCGCGCACACACATGCGTACCACACACACACACGCACGCACGCACGCACGCCCGCATTGGAGCACGTTGGAGCTTGCGACGCGAACAAACCTTTTAAGCCTTTTAAGAAATTGACAAATTACAATCGAATGTGAGGAGAATATTTGATTATGATTGGTCAATTTCTTACGGCTTAGTGTTTAAAACTTAAGCTTTAAGCCTTAAGTCACGAGAAATTGAGTGCATTCAGTACTACCGTTCACTGAGGGCTCATGCATCGCTTGCATCTTATTGGCATATTCCGTTAGAACTAAAAATATAGACCAAACAGATACAAGAGCTCACTGAGCGGTCGTGGTACTGAATGCACCCATTGAACGATCACAATCGAATGTAAGGAGAATACGATTGGTCAATTTCTTTAGCTTAATGTAGGATTCACACTGAGTACGGCATCCGACGTACGACCAATAAGAGAATTCGGTTCTAGTTAGCGACATTTTTATCTGCATATACTTTGTAAGTTGCACATTGCAATGTATCCGTCGTATGTACGTCGTCGAACGAAAAAGTTAAATCTTGATGAACATTTTCATACGACATCATCGTACGACAAAATATTGTTAGCTGAAGTATCAAGAAAACAAGCTCTTCTATTGGATATCGGACGCACGTCCAATGTCGTACGCAGTGTGAATCCTACATAAGGCTTTAAGCTTAAAGCTTTAAGCTTAACCCTGGATCTACAATAGGGTTTTAAGCCTTAAGCCATAAGAAATGGGCGAATCACAGTCGATTATTCTCCTCGGATTCGATTGTAATTGGTCAGTTTCTTACGGTTTAAAACACCTATTGTAGATCCGGACTAAGGCTTTAGGCTTAAGTCTAGGTCCACAATCTTGCTTTAAAGTATCTACAATGAGATTTTAATGCGTAAAACTTAAGCTTTAAGTTTTAAGCCGTAAGAAATTGACCAATCATAATCGATTGTTCTCACATTTGACTGTGATTGGTCAATTAAGGTTTAAAGCTTAAGTTTTATACCTTAAAATGTCATTGTAGACGCCGCTTAAAACACATATGTGCCACGCAGAAACGATGGATAACGAGAATGCGATAACAGCGCGATTGCTACACAAACGTCACGAGAGTCACGAGGAGATCGAATGTTAAGTGCTGATATGGCAAAGAGAGAGAAAGAGATCGAGAGAGAGAGAGAGAAGACGGACAGTTCTATCCCCTCTTGCTCATTAATTTCATCTCTTTTGCCTCGTTTTCGCTCGTTGTTCCATGCTGAGTTCGCATCTTTTACTGTTGTCCTACTGTTCATCTTTTTCCTTATGTCCTTTATTATAACATTTTGCATGTCAATTCTAAGAAAAATGTACAATGTGTTTCTACGTTATTCTACGATAATTTTTCCTAAAATTATCGTTAGTCAAAGTTGGCCAATTTTTGCCCTCAATTTTTCTATGCCATAATTTTTTTGAGTATAGTTTCTTTTAATGTTTATGTTAATAAAAATTGACATACTTCATTGATACTTCAATATTTTTATTGACTAAAACACGCATTTGTCGACTAAAACACTGTGCAAAAAATTTTGTAAATTATTTAAATTAGTTTAAGTAAGAAAAGACCTTGTATTTCTCTTATTACTTATTTTGTTTTATTATTTAACGTATTTTACACTTTAATATCTCAATTATGCCAATTAGGTACACTAAGAGAAAACGAAATAATTGTAGCAAATATAAATTTAGCAACATTGAAATAATATAATATGTATGTATAATATATGTAACTAGTTTTACGGAGTAATAGCAACTCTCTATTAGGTATGGTATTCTCAACACTATAAAAATATAATTACGCAATATTTTTATACTATTAATTGATAGTAAAATAGGAACTAAACTAAGGTAAGCGGATTCTATATGTCTCTAGACTTTGCGATTTCTTCTAATTTTTTACAGTCCAAAATTGAAAATTAATGGTCATATTCAAAAGACAAAAGAGAGAACATTTCTGAATGCTAATAAAAAATAAGACATTTCCAAATAAGTACAATAGAGATTAAAATCAAAGTAGCATTCCGTGTATACTAGGTACATATGTACGTAGTATAATATTACTTAACAAGGAGATGGGCAGATGTTCGGAATTTTGTTCAGAAAATTCTGAAACTTACGGTACGTGAAGTGCATCGCCCAGACATTACTTTGGCCAAACAGTAAAATGCACTTCTCAGTCATTGTCAAGAAAATCGACTTTGAAAAATTCCGTGGTATATGTATACTGGACGGTGAACAAGTTTCAACGAGTCCGCAGCGCAACGGCGCTCTTGCCTAGTAATCGTTGGATCGCTGATTCGATTCTCCGCCAACACTTTTTCACCCTTTTTTTTTTAATACTTGTTATTTCTGTAAAATTAATCAAATTTATTTAATAAATTTTGTAATCAACGGATATTTAATGTAAATCTTTTCTGAAAAACGAACCAGCGATCCAACGGTTACTAAACAAGAGCGCTACCTGTTGCGCCACTGGACTCAATGGATGCATTTAGTATTACAACCTCTCAATGAGCGCTTGCATTTTATTGGCATATTCCATTAGAACATACTGCAGGTATCTCTCAAATGCTTTAGCGTGCGTAAAGTGGCGTCTACAATAAAATTTTAAGGCGTAAAACTTAACCTTTAAATTTTAGGTCTGTCGCATCGCATGCTCTAACATGTTCCAATATGTTCCTACTATAGCTCTTACTCACTACACGCGCTTGATAGAGTGAGTAGGAGCTATAGTAGGAGCATGTTGGAGCACGTTGGAGCTTGCGACGCGAACAAACCTTTTAAGCCTTTTAAGAAATTGACAAATTACAATCGAATGTGAGGAGAATATTTGATTATGATTGGTCAATTTCTTACGGCTTAGTGTTTAAAACTTAAGCTTTAAGCCTTAAGTCACGAGAAATTGAGTGCATTCAGTACTACCGTTCACTGAGGGCTCATGCATCGCTTGCATCTTATTGGCATATTCCGTTAGATACACGCGCTTGATAGAGTGAGTAGGAGCTATAGTAGGAGCATGTTGGAGCACGTTGGAGCTTGCGACGCGAACAAACCTTTTATGCCTTTTAAGAAATTGACAAATTACAATCGAATGTGAGGAGAATATTTGATTATGATTGGTCAATTTCTTACGGCTTAGTGTTTAAAACTTAAGCTTTAAGCCTTAAGTCACGAGAAATTGAGTGCATTCAGTACTACCGTTCACTGAGGGCTCATGCATCGCTTGCATCTTATTGGCATATTCCGTTAGAACTAAAAATATAGACCAAACAGATACAAGAGCTCACTGAGCGGTCGTGGTACTGAATGCACCCATTGAACGATCACAATCGAATGTAAGGAGAATACGATTGGTCAATTTCTTTAGCTTAATGTAGGATTCACACTGAGTACGGCATCCGACGTACGACCAATAAGAGAATTCGGTTCTAGTTAGCGACATTTTTATCTGCATATACTTTGTAAGTTGCACATTGCAATGTATCCGTCGTATGTACGTCGTCGAACGAAAAAGTTAAATCTTGATGAACATTTTCATACGACATCATCGTACGACAAAATATTGTTAGCTGAAGTATCAAGAAAACAAGCTCTTCTATTGGATATCGGACGCACGTCCAATGTCGTACGCAGTGTGAATCCTACATAAGGCTTTAAGCTTAAAGCTTTAAGCTTAACCCTGGATCTACAATAGGGTTTTAAGCCTTAAGCCATAAGAAATGGGCGAATCACAGTCGATTATTCTCCTCGGATTCGATTGTAATTGGTCAGTTTCTTACGGTTTAAAACACCTATTGTAGATCCGGACTAAGGCTTTAGGCTTAAGTCTAGGTCCACAATCTTGCTTTAAAGTATCTACAATGAGATTTTAATGCGTAAAACTTAAGCTTTAAGTTTTAAGCCGTAAGAAATTGACCAATCATAATCGATTGTTCTCACATTTGACTGTGATTGGTCAATTAAGGTTTAAAGCTTAAGTTTTATACCTTAAAATGTCATTGTAGACGCCGCTTAAAACACATATGTGCCACGCAGAAACGATGGATAACGAGAATGCGATAACAGCGCGATTGCTACACAAACGTCACGAGAGTCACGAGGAGATCGAATGTTAAGTGCTGATATGGCAAAGAGAGAGAAAGAGATCGAGAGAGAGAGAGAGAAGACGGACAGTTCTATCCCCTCTTGCTCATTAATTTCATCTCTTTTGCCTCGTTTTCGCTCGTTGTTCCATGCTGAGTTCGCATCTTTTACTGTTGTCCTACTGTTCATCTTTTTCCTTATGTCCTTTATTATAACATTTTGCATGTCAATTCTAAGAAAAATGTACAATGTGTTTCTACGTTATTCTACGATAATTTTTCCTAAAATTATCGTTAGTCAAAGTTGGCCAATTTTTGCCCTCAATTTTTCTATGCCATAATTTTTTTGAGTATAGTTTCTTTTAATGTTTATGTTAATAAAAATTGACATACTTCATTGATACTTCAATATTTTTATTGACTAAAACACGCATTTGTCGACTAAAACACTGTGCAAAAAATTTTGTAAATTATTTAAATTAGTTTAAGTAAGAAAAGACCTTGTATTTCTCTTATTACTTATTTTGTTTTATTATTTAACGTATTTTACACTTTAATATCTCAATTATGCCAATTAGGTACACTAAGAGAAAACGAAATAATTGTAGCAAATATAAATTTAGCAACATTGAAATAATATAATATGTATGTATAATATATGTAACTAGTTTTACGGAGTAATAGCAACTCTCTATTAGGTATGGTATTCTCAACACTATAAAAATATAATTACGCAATATTTTTATACTATTAATTGATAGTAAAATAGGAACTAAACTAAGGTAA